ATTATACTCCTTCCTAGTAACCACGTTCCTACACGCATCCCCGATGTAACAGCTCACTTGATCAACTCTTTTTGTTTTTTCCATTTCTGCGGGTCACCAACTCTGTTTTGTGTTGGTTGTTAGAGAGACGGCGACATGGCGTCCCACAACGTGGAGCCGTGCACTCCGGAAAGACCAAGCCAACATTCATCAACTCGATCACCAACGCAAGCAATCGAACACGAACTCATTATTAGGCGACCACATCTCCAAAGAAAACAGGAGCGCGCACGTACGCGATCCAGTACCTAATATTCAAGTACGCCGGGTCAAGGGAAACGGGCTGGACCGGCACCGCGTAACCCGTCCCTCTCCGCCACGCTCATCCCCACCTCCACCTCCAGCCGTTGGTTCGCTCCTTCCCTCCCCAAAGCGATCGGGTCAACCCGGGGGCGCTGCATGCAGCTGTAGCACACAGCTGGCCCTCGAATGCGATGCATGCTTCCGTCGCCGCGCCGACGCGTACCGTATCGACGGCGACGGCGATGCCAATCATGCCTCTACTTGCAACATTATCCTGCCGTGTGGTAGATGGATGCCCACCCCGTGCATCCCCCTTTCTGTCTCCTACGTACACGAACACGATGGCAGCGTCCCTACACCTGCGTGTACAGGAGTACAGGAACATACCATCTTGATCGCCTTGATGATGATCTTCTAATCCGCAGTGACGCCGCCATCGTACGAGATCAAGTTGTTCACACTGTACTAGTGTCTCACACTTGCGCTGGAGTATACGTTTTCCCTTGCAAAATCCAGAGATGAGACTGAATGTTGGTCATCTCAGCAGGAGTGCTGTCCAGTAAGCGCCCGAGACGCGTACATACACCACCGGCCGGGAAAAGAAAAGGAATGTACGAATTGCGCCCGGTCGTGGTGGCGCGCACGACGGTGGTACGAAAACGACGGCTGCTCCGGTCGCGTGCGGTGGTCGACGGAGGTGGTTGGAGACTTCCTCGGCCCTTTCCTTCCCACCGAGCCGAGCCACAGCACAATGGTCGAGGGAACAAATCGTTCCCCTTTACGTTTCTAAACAAAGGGCCACACGATTCACACGACAAAATGCGTGGATTTTCCTCGCAGTCGTTTTCATCTGCGAGTGTGTCACCGTGGGATTTGACATGTCCCGGGAGGCCACAACAGAAAAGGTGCCTGCTGCTCTCGTCGAACCTTTTCTCTGGCCTCAGTGTTGGTACTACAGTACAGTAATTCCTAGTGCCACGGAACATGACAATAAGAACCCAGTTGTTGACACTTGACAGTAAAAGAGACCTAGGAGGCACCCGGTCCGTTCATCACACGTCGCAAAAAACTTTCGCCTTGTCTTTGTTTAACAATATACATGTTGACGTTTCTTCAGAGAGGATCACACGAGAAATTTACCGAATCGAATATATGCCAGACAATCTGTAAACCAAGAAAATGACGGCATTAGAAAGCTCCTGAATTCCCCCGCAAACAAGGAAAAAGCTCCCGATAATATATGAAATTCAAGCCTATCTCTCCACCTGAGATGAGATCCTGAGAAAATGACACCGCAATACGCAGTGCTCCCCAGCTAATCAAATACCCCCACCACATCCAAGAGCTCGTCAAAACCAAGCATCGATTCACTGTCCTTCCTGTGGGTATTAGCAGCAGTCGCTAACTCCCTCTGCTCATCTCGTTTCAAGCAGCAAGTGTCAACTCTCAACACCACCTCTACAAAAGCAATCGTGCACTCTGGTGATGCTCTCTGGTTTGTGCCGCCATCCCTGTCGATGAAGACCTCCGTGGCCTCCTTCTAGTGCCCCGTGCCGATCGCCGATGCTTTGGCCGGAATTCTTGCACCATGCCGCCGGTTCCTGACATGCTCGTGCGGCTCCTCGTCGCGTCCGTGCTGCTCGGCGCAGCCAGTGGCGCGTTTACCCCCGCGGACACCTACCTCGTCCTCTGCGGCACGTCGGCGAGCGCCACCGTTGCCGCGGGACGGACGTTCGTCGGGGACGCCCGTCTGCCCGCCAAGTCGCTGGCCGCGCCGCAGAGCGTCGAGGCCAACACGTCGCTGACCGCGGTCGTCCCGTCCGGCGAATCGCAGCTTTACCGGTCCGCGCGCGTCTTCACCGCGCCGGCTTCCTACACGTTCGCCGTCAAGCAGCCCGGCCGGCACTTCGTGCGCCTCCACTTCTTCCCCTTCCCGTACCGGTCCTACGACATGGCCGCGGACGCCGCGTTCAACGTGTCCGTGCAGGGCGCGGTGCTCGTCAACGGGTACGCGCCCAAGAACGGCACGGCGGAGCTCAGGGAGTTCTCGCTGAACGTCACCGGTGCCACGCTGGTGATCGCCTTCGCGCCGACGGGGAAGCTCGCGTTCGTGAACGCCATCGAGGTCGTGTCGGTCCCCGACGAGCTCATCGCCGACACGGCCAGGATGGTGGGCGGGGCCGTCCAGTACACCGGGCTGTCGACGCAGGCGCTGGAGACGATCCACCGGATCAACATGGGCGTCCCCAAGATCACGCCCGGCAACGACACGCTGGGGAGGACGTGGCTGCCGGACCAGAGCTTCCAGCTCAACACCAACCTAGCGCAGCATAAAGACGCCAAGCCCTTGACGATCAAATACGACGAGAAGTCGGCGCTCTCCTCCGCGTACACGGCGCCGGCGGAGGTCTACGCGACGGCGACGAGGCTGAGCACGGCGGGCGAGACCAGCACCATCAACGTGCAGTTCAACATCAGCTGGAGGTTCGACGCCCCGGCCGGGTCGGATTACCTGCTCCGGTTCCACTGGTGCGACATCGTCAGCAAGGCGGCCATGGGAATGGCCTTCAACGTCTACGTCGGCGGGTCGGTGGTGCTCGAAAACTACGAGATTTCGCGTGACACGTTCAACCGGCTGTCCATACCGGTGTACAAGGACTTCCTCCTGGGCGCCAAGGACGCCAAGGGCGCCATCACCGTGAGCATCGGGTCGTCGACCGAGGACAACGCGTTGCCCGACGGCTTCCTCAACGGCCTCGAGATCATGAGGGTAGTCGGGAGCGCCGGCGCCGGCGCTCCCGCCGCGTCCGCGCGCAGTTCAAAGGTCAAAATCGGGATCATCGCCGGCTCGGCCGTCTGCGGGGCCACGCTGGTGATGGTGCTCGGATTCATCGCCTTCAGGACGCTGCGCGGGAGGGAGCCGGAGAAGAAGCAGCCGTCCGACACCTGGTCGCCCTTCTCGGCGAGCGCGCTGGGCTCTCGCTCGCGCTCCCGGAGCTTCTCCAAGAGCAACGGGAACACCGTCCTGCTCGGGCAGAACGGCGCCGGCGCCGGGTACAGGATCCCGTTCGCGGCGCTCCAGGAGGCGACCGGCGGGTTCGACGAGGCGATGGTCATCGGCGAGGGCGGGTTCGGGAAGGTGTACAAGGGCACGATGCGCGACGAGACGCTGGTGGCCGTGAAGCGCGGCAACCGGCGGACGCAGCAGGGGCTGCACGAGTTCCACACGGAGATCGAGATGCTGTCCCGGCTGCGCCACCGCCACCTGGTCTCGCTCATCGGCTACTGCGACGAGCGCGGGGAGATGATCCTGGTGTACGAGTACATGGCCATGGGCACGCTGCGGAGCCACCTGTACGGCGCCGGCCTCCCGCCGCTGTCGTGGGAGCAGAGGCTCGAGGCCTGCATCGGCGCCGCGCGGGGGCTGCACTACCTCCACACCGGCTCCGCCAAGGCGATCATCCACCGGGACGTCAAGTCGGCCAACATCCTCCTGGACGAGAGCTTCATGGCCAAGGTGGCCGACTTCGGGCTGTCCAAGAACGGGCCGGAGCTGGACAAGACGCACGTGAGCACCAAGGTGAAGGGCAGCTTCGGGTACCTGGACCCGGAGTACTTCCGGCGGCAGATGCTGACGGAGAAGTCGGACGTCTACTCCTTCGGCGTGGTCCTGCTGGAGGTGCTGTGCGCCCGCACGGTCATCGACCCGACGCTGCCCCGGGAGATGGTGAGCCTGGCCGAGTGGGCGACGCCGTGTCTCAGGAACGGTCGGCTCGACCAGATCGTCGACCAGAGGATCGCCGGGACGATACGGCCGGGGTCGCTCAAGAAGCTCGCGGACACGGCCGAGAAGTGCCTCGCCGAGTACGGGGTGGAGCGGCCCACCATGGGGGACGTGCTCTGGTGCCTCGAGTTCGCGCTGCAGCTGCAGGTGGGGTCGTCAGACGGCTCGGACGTCGACACCATGTTGCCGCCGGCGCCGCCTGTGCCCGTGAAAACGCCAGAGGTTCAGCGTAGCCTGTCCGCCGCTACCATGGCGACCGACGCTGCTGCCATGACCACCAACTTGGGTGATCTAGACGGAATGTCCCTGAGCGGAGTATTCTCGAAGATGATCAAGAGCGACGAGGTCAGGTGAAGCCAAAAGATGCTTCGTCGACGTTGTACAAGCTGAAGCACATGTATATGTCAATTTTGTGTTTATAGCATGTAGTACATGACAAACGATGTACAAACTTTCACGTAGAAGAAAGTTATATCAGGTAGTGATGTATAACGTACCAATAAGGAGGAACAGATTCTCCTGATTTCACAAAAGTAACCTCACCATGGATATGTATATGATCGGCAGAGAGGCAGCGGCTTATACTCCAGGATGAGTATAAGCAGAATCGCCATGTGAACAAGGCCGAGACAAAAATACATAAACCAGGAGGTGTCACTGCATTCAGGGCAGAATATTTCATGGATATAAGTGAAGATTACTGCAGTAAATGGGCAAGAAATCATGCTGTATCTCCAGCACATTCATAACACCAATTTTTGTTACAAACGAATAAATGAGTCTGTTAAACTCGAGGCATGATTATGAGTTCTATAGAGTACCCTAACTTCCTTCATGCTCAACAAAGAGCAGTGCCCTCGGATCTCGAGAAAAATAATGGGGTCTCACCAGACGTCTACTCCCCCGTGGCCATCTAATACTCAATCACTACCCTCTACTCTTCCTTCCGCTTTCCTAATTGCTTTCTGGCCCGAGCTGTCAAGCACCGTCCCACAAACTTGAGAACCTCGTCGATGAGAACCACTGGGAATGCAACTGCTACGACCAAAAGCCATTCATTGAAACTGAGGGGCACAATCCCGAAGATTTGGGTAAGGAAAGGCACGTAGAGGATCAAGAAATGAAGCCCAAAAGACACCGACATTGCCAGAAGAAGCCAGGGGTTCACCCATGGAGGCATGCTCAGAAGGCTGCCATCCTCAGACAGGGCATTCAGTGAGTTGAACATCTCAATGGACACCAAGACAGAAAGGGAGAGGGTTGTTGCTTTTATTTTGCCGCCCTGGAAGTAATCGCAAGGGTTCTCATCAAAGTTGAATGTCCTTGCCCCTGCTGTGAATGATGACACATTGAAACCCTCCCATGAGGGGCACTGGCCCCAGTTTGAGAGCTGGGAGTATGAAACAAGAGTGTGACCATCACTAGCCAGATCAATTCCCAGGAAAGAGCCATGGGTGTACCAGATGATAAAGATTCCAACCGTTGCAATCCCAACATACAGCCCAATAACCTACACACATGTTCATAAATTTCAAACATAAGTACAACTGCATCCATTCATAAATTAATATTCTATGCAAGTGCACAAATCAATAGGGCTAGAAGAGTCATAATGATGTGCCAAAAGACCACATCATGTGGAAGCTATGCTGGGAAAAATCATTTTCGTAAGTCCTCAATGTATACAACTTTATTACTATTGGACCTTTTGAGTAAGATTGAAGAACTTATGAGAATTGACAGTTTTCGCATGGAAGATACAAGACATATATGGGACACTCTAGAGAAGCATCTCCCAGTTGATTTAATTAAGAATGAACTCTCGTTTTAATGTCTGGATATAAATACTAACGAAATGCTTGTTGTGGAAGTGCTGACTCTTTATAAGGTGTTTAAAACTGTATATACCATAATTACTATTGCCGAAAAGCTACGTAGAACACAGTAAATTAATTCACTGTGAGGGCTTCAAAGCAATTGATTTAAGATGAGGATACTTGAGGAAGTGCACAATATACAGGAAAACATACCATGTAGCGGAACAGGATCCAAGGAGTGATTAATGAATCATCACTTCTTCTAGGAGGTTTCTTCATGATATCCTTATCTGGTGGATTGAATCCCAAAGCTGTTGCAGGAGGGCCATCCGTAACAAGATTGACCCACAGAAGTTGTACTGGAATGAGGCCTTCTGGGATACCTAAAGCCGACGTGAGGAATATGGACGCAACTTCTCCAATGTTCGAAGATATCATATATCTGCAGTGCCACATGGATCATATGAACTTGTTGCATTTGTTTTTTATGTTTCAAGTAATTAGCAAACGAAATGGTTAAAACATAGCTAGCAAAAAAGATGTACCTTATAAAAGCCTTCATGTTGTTGTAAATGGACCTTCCTTCACCAACAGCTGAGACAATTGTACTGAAGTTATCATCTGCAAGCACCATATCTGAAGCTTCTTTTGCAACCTAACACATCATAAGGAGAAAGGGAAAAGGTCACAAGTCCACTCTGCGCATGTGAGAACGGCTAACAAAAACACGCCTTTAGGAACTCAGAAAAAATGTGTTCCAACTTCCAAAACTTTGGCCGGGCAGACAAGTGAAACAGATTTTTCACCATTATGTCGTCTTTGTTGTTTTCATCTCTGCTCATGCCCGCAATGCATGAATACGTGTCGATTTATACCTTTCATTAAGTTAGGGTTCTATCCACACCATGTTAACAAACATAGCATGCATTCACAGAAGGTCATCATGAGTAACACATTTCACAAAAAGGATACAGTAGAGGCAGGACAGGGAGCACCATTAAATCAAAACAGAAAGGTGAATGAAAAAGCAATGAAAATCTAATGAAGGCAATAGGAATCATATCATTATCGCAGACTTATTTTGTGTATCTTGAGTGTTACTAACATGGATTATTCAGCAGTAAAGTAGCCTTAGGGGTTGATGAGTAACAGATCATTGTGATGTTGCAGCAAACATTACATAAAACAACTATAGCAAACGCTAAACAATAATGATAATAATAATAATTGCAAGTAGAAGCACCTTAAGTGATAGAAGACAATCAGACACTAACAAAATGGATTCAATTGCACATGTAAAGTGATTAGGTGCAGCCTAAAACCGTACTCTTGAGATGTCAGAAGGTGACATTTTTCTATGGAAATAACCAAATAAGCTAACAATGATTTACACAAAATAGGAATTGATCTTAAAAATAGAACTAAAAAGAACGACTGATTTAAAGAAGAGAAAGAAGGCAGACCTCAGTCCCTGTAATGCCCATCGCGATTCCAATATCAGCTAATTTCAGAGCCGGTGCATCATTCACTCCATCACCAGTCATTGCAACAACTTCACCATCTTCTTTGAGCAGCCTAACAATTTCCTGCTTATGTTTTGGCTCTGCTCTTGAGAAGAGAAGGCCACCTGTTTGCCTCAAAATCTTCTTTCTATCAGGAAGAGCCATAAATTCCTTCCCTGCAAAGCTCTTTGAGCTAATGTTTTCACTGGGACCAAAAACCCCAATCTCACGGCATATTGCCTCAGCTGTTTCTTTGTTATCACCTGTTATCACCATAACACGTATACCAGCAGCCCTGCAATCTTCAATTGCTTTGTGGACTTCTTCTCGTGGAGGATCCTGTGGTAGTATAGTAATAATGATGTTAAAGACACATGCAGTTTCCGAATTAGGACCGCATATTTATTTACAGAATTTCCATGGAGTGAGAAGGTCTCACCCTCAGACCAACAAAACCACAGAATATCAGATTACTCTCTATGGAAGAGTAGTATGCAGGATCAAGTAGATATTTGTGAGCGGGATGCTCTTCTCCATCATATGTTGCAAAGTCTGCCAGATCTTCCTTGTATGCAAAGCCCAAACAGCGCAATGCACTGCCAGACATTTCACGAAGTGTTGACAATACGAGTGCCTTGGCACCCTCATCCAAGAGCACGACGGATCCATCGAGCAACTGAATATAGGCACTTCTCTCTAGCAAATTTTCTACTGCTCCCTGCAAGAGTATACTTTTACCATAAATATTCGTAGGAGAGAAAATGACATGACCAGAAACATTGGAAGCGGCAATATGACATGAATACATGGTACTTGCTACTCACAGAAGCAAATAAGAAACTCAATGCCACATTGTAGCTGAATCTATAACCAACTGACTGAAAGAAAGTAAATATGCATTGATAACTAGTTAAAGAGAATTAACATTTGCCGATATGGCAAAGATGAGCCCTAGTTTCAAGAGAAAAGGAAGGCACAAAAACTGGTACGGTGGACAATGACAATATATGGTATGTTATTTCCAGCGTTACAAAGAATAAAATGTTAGTAAGCCAAATTCCAGAAAAATAATATTTGTACACACTAGACAACTTGAAATACAGAAGTGCAACATATGATAATCCACAACAGAACTAAGCGATATGAATTATTCCAAATACCTTCACAAGCAGCAAATTCTTTCCAGTCTCTGCTTTTTTCACAATAACTCCCATTGATTTTCTAGTGCGATCAAATTCCAGAGTCCCTACTCTTTTAGCATCGTTGTTCCACCATTGACAGCACCCTTCAAACAACATAGATACACAAATTATGTCAGATATTTTCTGTCTACATAAAAAGCTAATAATGCAATCAGACTATATAATTTTACAAAAGAAATCAACATACTTAGCAAATCGGATGAATCCAGAGATGGGGTATATCCACCAGGGAGCCCCATTTTCTCGACCAAAACCTAGCACGTGCATAATACAATCACTCAACAGTACAAGTGATAAAATTACCGTGAGTTAATGAAATAGAGACAGTGTCGTCTTAAAAAGCATTCAAATTAGAGTGTAGAATTGGCAAGTAGAAGCAACATGCAACATATGTATATATCTTGGTTCATTAACAAATCATACCTTTAATGCAGCCTCTGTGGGCATCCCAGTAGCAACATACTGATGCTCAGAGTGTGCAATACTTGCATCATTGCAGAGTGCAGCTATCTTCGCAATCATCTGGAGGTTATCATCCATGTTCAAAGTTGGCCAGTCATGTATCTTGCCATCACTTGGATCATAAGTGGTTCCATCAACCTTAAAGTTCCTAAGTGTATCAGGCCACCTCCCAATTGCCACAAGCCTCACCGCTGACATCTGGTTGGTGGTCAGGGTTCCTGTCTTATCGGAGCAAATCACTGTTGTGCAACCTAATGTCTCAACACTGGGTAACTTTCTCACAAGTGCATTCTTCTGAGCCATCTTCCTGGTGCCTAGTGCCAAGCATGTGGTGATCACAGCAGGCAGGCCCTCTGGAATGGCAGCAACAGCCAGTGCCACTGCAATCTCAAAGTAATATGTGCACTTCTCGAATGAGAACTTAAAATTCGCCGGCCACCCATCCACATACTCCCAGGTAAGGAAATACTTCACGTTAATGAGCCAAACCAAGATACATATCACTCCAATAATGGCAGTGAGCGCCTCACCGAACTCATTGAGCTTCTTTTTCAGCGGCGTGTCATCCTCCTCCTGTGATGCCTCCTGGATCTGCGAATGGATCTTGCCTATTTCAGTGGCCATGCCAGTTCCGGTCACCACACAGACTGCACTGCCGTTGACAATGGTGGTGCCAGCAAAGACCATGCACTCCTTCCCCTGGATATCTGTGTCCTCGAGATGAATCTTGTGGCTGGTCTTGTTAACCGAAGAGGTCTCGCCAGTGAGTGATCCCTGCTCAACACGGAGGGTAGAGCTGATAAGCTGGAGCACACGCATGTCGGCGGGGACCTTGTCGCCCACGCGGAGCTCGACGATGTCTCCGATGACGAGGTCGCGCGCGGGGAGCCCATGCTTCCAGCGGCCGTCGCGCTTGACGGTGGCGTGCTCGGACTGGATCTCCTTGAGCGCCTCGAGCGCCTTCTCGGCGTTGCTCTCCTGCCAGACCCCGACGACGGCGTTGACGATGAGGATGAGGAAGATGACGAGCGGCTCGACGAAGGCGGTGGCCCTGACCTCGCCGCCCTCGGCGCCGTCGTAGAGCGCGAGCACGAAGGAGACGACGGCGGCGGCGAGGAGGATGCGCACGAGCGTGTCGTTGAACTGCTCGAGCACCAGCTTCCACAGGGAAGGCGGCGCGTGGCGCTCCAGCTCGTTGGGCCCGTACTTGTGCAGCCGCGCCGCCGCGTCGTCGGAGCTGAGGCCGCGGTCCGCCGAGACGCCGAGCTCCGCCAGGCAGTCGCTCGGGGTGCGCGCCCAGAAGGGGAAGACGGGCACGTCGGGGTCGGCCCCGGGGGAACCGGATCCATCCGGCCGCGCGGCCTCGTCCTGCCCGCCCTTGCCCATTTGTTTTGTGGTGACGACTCGAGATTCGAACGGAGAGGAGGCGCTCCTACCTAGGGTTCCCGTCCGTCGCCGCGGCGGCGAGATCGCATGGAACCCTTAACCCTAGAAGGGGATGGAGGAGGCGGCGGGGAGGGGTAGGGGAGGGGAGCGGGGACTGGGCTGGGTGGGAGAAGAAGAGGGCGATTGGTGGTGTGGATTCGAAAGCAGGCTGGGGAAGGACGGGGGGCTTTTGCCTTTGTTTTTCCGCTTTTCTTTATGGCGTAAACTATTTTCTTACTCCAAATCGATCGCGACAGGGAAGAAATAGTACGCTGCGCACGCTCCGGGTGGTTCGTCGTCTTGGACCTTTGTGTGTCTGCGGGTGGGGATGCGTATGAGCTGGGACCTTTCGTCAGCGAGCGAGGGGGTCGTTATCGTGGCGGCTAGTACTCCACTTTCGATATGATATGTGGCGAATGGTTAATTAATTAACCGGTAAGGTATGGGGTTCTTGATGGAGAGATGCCTTGCTTGACCCGGAGCGGAGGCCACGTCACCAGGCGACGCGCCGTGCTGCCGCGTGTGCGCCTCCAACGGGTATGTGCCACTGTACCCTGGGGCCGCCTCGAGCCTTGACCCACACGCATTGAGAGGGGCGTGCCGCTTTTGTGGCTGCCGGGACCGCTTTGCGCGGATCGGGGTGCGAGGAATCTTTCCGGCGAGTGGTGGCGTGACGTCAGTCGGGCCAACCATCGCACGGCGCTGGGCGGTCCGTCCGAGCGCAGCCGCTAATGACGCACCTCCGGCCAATCGCGGCACGCCACGTGTACCCCGCGCCTCCTGATTTTATCGGGCTCCCTCCCGGGCTGCAAAAGAGGAATTCTGGAAGGTCCCGCGCTGGGAGGCACGGGCAGTCGCGCACGCAGCAGCTTCGGCTGCGCCCTGCACGTTCCGTTGCCGTGCCGTGCGCTGCCATCGCCGTGCAGTGTGCACGAGCGGGGAATCAGCCGAACCTGCTACGTACGGGCACCGGGGGCAGCGGCGCAGAGATCGGGTTCGGGGTCGGGTCAGGCACGCCGCGCACCACGTTGCTCCCGAAGCGCAGCGCAGAGGGTGTCAAGTGGTACGTACAGTGGTGTAGTGGAGCTTGTATATGCGGGTGACCTCCTCGCTGTCGTCGATTCCTTTTCTGCAGGCAGGCAGGCAGGCAGGAGTGGTGCGAGATCTGGATAAATATTTTACGGGGAAACGGAGACCGCACAGGCGTGGATCGCGGATTTCGCAGCTTCCGCGTAGCTGCAGTACGGCGGGTACAGTACAGTACGAAGGGAGCCGATGCCCCCGTACCGTGGGGGCACGGTTCGCCGTCCGTGGGAGCCAGCCAGGAGCGCACATGCCGTGGCCTCGGGTTGCACACGGGATCGAATCGGACGCATGGCCGTGACACGGCTGTGCTGGGGCAGCAGGCCAAAAGGAAAAGATATTGCGAGATAGTGGGGAGGCAAATCCACCCCTGCCTGTCGGACCAGCCATTTTCTTCTCATCTATCTCTTCTTCCTTATCCGTGCTGGCCTACCCCTGGCTCCATCGCCATATCGAGCCCTCAACCGTCAGCACCGTCACAACACTCCTCCCCTTCACTCTCGCCGCCGCGGACACTCTTGCTGGCCTAGACGCCGCCGTGGCACTTCCGGCTCCTTTTGGACTGCATCGTGCCCTCAATGTGTTCTGCACATTGTCCAACCAGTTTTGGGTGATTGGTTTGTAGGCAAGACAATGGTTCATCGGATGAGAAGTATGGACCAACGGAGCTTGATGAATTAATTCAAAAGAAGTAGTTCTTTGATTCATCGGATTCAGGCGAAGAAGTGGAGATGATTGTGATCATGAGCGTCCTTGGGGAAATGGACCGAGAGGTGGAACACATTCTAAACATCAAGGGTTCGATCAAAGCAAGAAGAGTTTTGAACCGGGATCAAGTCTTTGGAGCATGGCTGCTCTACAAGGTTGATCCCGGACCAACATTCCGAGATGAATGGTTTCCTTAACGCTTATGTATGCGCAAACCCTTATTCTTGCACGTGGTGGAGGGAGTGGAGGCACACTATCCCTACTTAAAGCTCGCCATGGATTGTTGCAGAAAACCATCGTTCTCTACCAAGCAGAAATGCACGGCTGCTATGAGGATTCTTGCACTTGGTACCGTTGTCGATGTCGTTGGTGAGATGGTTCGAATAGGGGAAAGCACATGCCCAGAGAAACTATCAAGTTTGTTCGCGGCGTGGTGGAGGTGTTTGGAGCAGAATATCTAAGAGAACCAAATGAGGAGGACACAGAAAAGTTGCTGGCTATTGGAGAGGCGAGAGGTTTTCCATGTACGCTTGATTCAATTGATTGCATGCATTGACAATGAAAGAACTACCCAAAAGGTTTTGCGTGGGATGTATCAACAATAAGGGTTTGGTATGCTTTCATATTAAAAGCAGTGGCATCACATGACTTGTGGATTTTGTATGCTTTCTTTGAAATGTCTCGTTCTCACAACGACATCAATGTGCTTCAGTGATCTCCCATGTTCAGGAGACTTTGTAATGGGGAATTGCCGTTGTGCAACTTCATTGTCAACGGCTCACGGAGTTGATTGCGGCAGATCTCGGGTAGGGGGTCCCGATCTAGTAGCCTTATCACGATGGTAACAAAGACACGTGTTTTACCCAAGTTCGGACTCTCCTAAGAGATAAAACCCTACGTGTTGCTTTTGTTGTATTGATTTGGTGTGGAGTACAAAGTACAGGTGATCTACCTCGAGATAGTTGTGTGTTCTCTACGAGCCCTACCCCTTGGTTTATATAGGTGCCAGGGGGTACACCGTTAGCAGCTCTTGAACCAGTCTTCAAGTCAGAGACACTCCTCGGGTCTTCCAGTCTGTTCTTCATTCTTTAGTCGCCGGTCTTGAAAACTGGTTCAATGAGTCTCCATTTGTTCGATAACGAGTCCATATTCGAGGTGCTTCAGCAATTTCGTCCTTGCCAAACTTTTCATTGGGTTCATGTTGTTTTGGACATCGGGAATCTCTCCGCGTTGTAGTTCCTTAGTCGTAAAGTTTTCCCACGCTTGGTGATTCATGATAGTCTGGTTTGGCATTAGCTTAGACCAGTCACATCCACCAGCCCACATGGCGATGAGGCGCATACATCCTGTCGGTCAACATTACGTGTGGACATGCGTAGGGGTCCCATCTGATGGAAATATGCCCTATTGGCAATAATAAAATGGTTATTATTATATTTCCTTAATCATGATAAAAGGTTTATTATTCATGCTAGAATTGTATTGACCGGAAACTTAAATACATGTGTGGATTCATAAACAAATATCGTGTCCCTAGTGAGCCTCTACTAGACTACTCGTTGATCGAAGATGGTTAAGGTTTCCTGACCATAGACATGAGTTGTCATTTGATAACGGGATCACATTTTTAGGAGAATGATGTGATGGACAAGACCCATCTGTTAGCTTAGCATATGATCGTTCAGTTTATTGGTACTGCTTTCTTAATATCAAATACATGTTCCTTCGACCATGAGATCATGCAACTCCCGGATACCGTAGGAATACCTTGTGTGCTATCAAACTTCACAACGTAACTGGGTGATCATAAAGATGATCTATAGGTGATAACCCATAAGTATAGGGGATCGCAACAGTTTTTGAGGGTAGAGTATTCAACCCAAATTTATTGATTCGACACAAGGGGAGCCAAACAATATTCTCAAGTATTAACGGTTTAGTTGTAAATTCAACCGCACCTGAAAGACTTAATATCTGCAGCAAAGTATTGAGTAGCAAAGTAGTATGATAGTAGCGTAACAGTGGCAAAAGTAACAGTATTGGTTTCGTAGTTATTGTAACAGTGGCAACGGAAAAGTAACTAAGCAAAGATCAATATGTGAAAAGCTCGTAGGCAATGGATCAGTGATGGATAATTATGTCGGATGTGATTCCTCATGCAACAATTATAACATAGGGTGATACAGAACTAGCTCCAGTTCATCGATGTAATGTAAGCATGTATTCCAAATATAGTCATACATGCTTATGAAAAAGAACTTGCATGACATCTTTTGTCCTACCCTCCCGTGGCAGCGGGGTCCTATTAAAAACTAAGGGATATTAAGGCCTTCTTTTAATAGAAGTACCAGACCAAAGTATTAACACTTAGTGAATACATGAACTCCTCAAACTACGGTCATCACCAGTAAGTATCCCGATTATTGTTACTTCGAGGTTAACGGATCATAACACATAATAGGTGACTATAGACTTGCAAGATAGGATCAAGAACTCACATATATTCATGAAAACATAATAGGTTCAGATCTGAAATCATGGCACTCGGGCCCTAGTGACAAGCATTAAGCATAGCAAAGTCATAGCAACATCAATCTCAGAACATACACTACAAAAAAGACACATCCGTGACATTTTGGGCCGAACGAAAAAAAATATGTCATACATATGACACTTCTATGACAATAATTGTGACAAAACCCGGTATCATCATAGATGTGGTGGGCTCCTACTTCTATGAAAAAAAATCATGACAGAAAATGGGCTTTTCGTCCTCGGCGGGCCGGAGACGCAGCTGCATGACATTTTTTAGACCGTCCATGACACAAAAAACCATGGTAGAAGCGAGGGCGAGGAAAATTTCGGGGAGTTCCCGGTTACGGTGGGAGGTCGGGGGCCGAGCGATGCGCGTTTCTCTCGTACACGTACGCACGTGTGTGCGAGGCGTTGGGCTCTAACTGAACCCGAGCAATTGCACTGCAGGCTACGCGTTACTGAACCCGAGCGATCGATCGATGGCTGTTAACTGAACCCGATCGAGCGATTCCTTCGCTACTGCTGCTAACTAAAGCCGATTGATTGGATGAACAGTGAGTGTTGCGGGGGGGTGGATGAACAGTAAGCGGTGGCGTTGCCTCTGGATGAACAGGACCCCGTGGTGTGGAGGGCTG